TTTTTTTTTTTTTTTTTTTTTGAAGATTAACCTTTTTTTTTAATAAAAAAAAGTAAGATATACCCTCCGCCTTAGATGAACCGCTAGCCCGTGGGCGAGCCGAGCCCGCGAGCCAACCTGCTCGGCTCGAGTTCGTCATTTGACGAGCCTAAACTACCCACGAGTCGGCTTTTCACGAGCCGACGAGCTGCTCGACCCGTTTGCCACCACTAGGCAGATAGCAAATACAATAAACATAAGTATCTAGACACTACAATTTGGAGGGAGACAAGCTTCATTTTAACAACCAAGAAAATAAAAATTGACCAGGTAGAAAATATTCCCTCAAAAAGTTTGGTTGAAATGAGTTCCATCCATGTGCTTATTTTTATTTAGGCTGGCAATCACTTCAGGTTATCAAAATGTAACAAGGGTGGAGGTAACTACAGTAAACAGCTCAACATAACTGACTGAACCACAATCTGGAAATTTATAGTAACATTACAGCAGCAGTAATCATAAACTATAGTTTCTGGGAATGTAAGTCTAAAGCTAATGCCTTCACATGCCAACATCTAAGGTGCCAAATTAGACCATATGTGGAACCTACAAGTTGGTCTTGCATGAAGCTTTGTTATGCCCGAGTTGCTTGCACTTCGAACAAGTGACTGTCCTCTTATCTGGATACTCTATTTTGATGATTGCCTTGTGTTGATCTGGTGATTGAGGGTGAGGAGGAAGCACGTGCATGGTGTCCGAATCAGTCTCTTCCATTCCCACAAGTGCACCAATTTCAGGAATACGGTTTATGGACTCTGAATATGTTGACTTGTAAGTATCAACACTGAAGTGTCTCGGACAATAATCGTACACACTCTTCCCTGCAATGTTGAAGGAAGCAATAGCATGTCGACATGGTAACCCACATTCTTTCCATTCTAGGCAAGTACAGTCCCATTTCTCGATATTCACTACATGAGTACATTCATCATGAACCTCAAATAGAATATCTGATGCCATAAACACTTGAAGATTTTCTGCTCTAAAGGCTTCTTCCTGGATCTTTTTCTCTTTGGGTGGAGTAAGTTTTGTAATCCATTTACTTGACTCTGTTCGACGATTATTTATCAATTCACTAACCATGTATATGAATTCTTCTATCTTCTGCATTAAAGTTGATTCCCGTATTTCCTCCATCAGCTTAGAATATGGTTCTGCTACATTTTCTGTGATATGGTTAAACGGCTCACCTTTGAATAGAGAACTTGTCCACTGCTCCGGCTCAATCTGAATAAACCAATCATAAGCATTCGGAGAAATATCTCTAATCTGCTCAGTGAACTTTTCGAAAACATTCAGTCCAGATGCATGTCCAGCAGAAAGAAACAGTCCAGGCAAAGCACCTTGCCCTTCCCCATTGAATGGGCCCTTCGAGTTTCTCCTGAAACTTTCAACAAGGTGGTACATGGAATAACCATGATGAGCATTCTTAAATACCTTTAGCACCGACTTTTTTAATCCCATCTCTCTATCAGAAACAAAAGTTATGGGTTCTGATGTTGATATTGCACATTTTAGTTGCTCCAGAAACCAATGCCAGTTCTCATCATTTTCAATGTTGACTACTGCAAATGCAACAGGGAAGAAACCATCATCGGCATCAACTGCAGTAGCTGTTAACAAACTTTCTTGGTGCTTCGATCTCAGAGAAGTAGCATTAAGAAAAAGAATGGGACGGCAGCCATTCTGGAAACCACGTGTACAGGAATGAAATGAGATGAAAAGGCATTTAAGTCTTTTCTCATCATCAGTGATCAGTTTGGAGAAACTACCAGGATTTGTCTCCAGCACCTTCTCGCAGAGCCAAGGCAATCGATTGTATGACTCTTTATATGAACCCTGAAGTTGCTCCCTGGCATCCTCAATTCCACGCCAGACTTGTTTGTAGCTCAATTCAATTCCAAAGTCCCTTGAAATGCTCTTAGCAATTTCCCTGGGTTTGTCATGTGGTGAATTTCGTAATTTGTCCTTTATAACACTCACCAACCAATTCTTAGATGAACGAGAATTCTTCCAAGATCCCCCTCCACATGTATGTGTATTATCGAGCTTTTTGATCCTAAATGACTCAGAAGCAGGAACCCAAGATGCATGAATTTTCCAAGAACAGCCCTCCGCAATACATATGCCACTCGCACGATTAGTGTCATTCTTTTTCAATTTGTAAACAAAGCAGAGAGCAACAGCATACTTCTGCAGTGCCTCCCGAAATTCTTTCACGCTTTTGAAATCCTGCCCCACACCAGTAATACACTCTTTCCATTTAGCAACTACCTTCTCTGGCAAATCATCATCATATAAAGCAATACCTGAGATATTATCATCGTTTACAGCAACAGTACTTCGATTTTCTTTTTTCTTTTTCCACGATCTTCTTTCCACGTCATTATCACTAACCGCAACAACAGTTGGACCGTGTGCACCACTCCTCCACGAGGCAGTGCGCCTCCGCTTTTTAACCGCATCTGCTGGGCTATTACTTGTATCAAAGCCAATTGGGCTTGGAGAATTTACGTCAAAATCAACAGATACACGCGGCTTAAAATCAGAATCATAGTCAGCCTCATGTTCAGAAAGTGGAGATGAGGCAGTGGATGCTTGACTGCTGCTTGAGCCATTGGCATCAGATGCTACCGTAGAATCAATAGAAGCGTGAAGAGGAGCATAAGCATCAAGTTCAGCAATAGCATGGGCAGAGAGAGGTTCAACATCAAGGACAACTGTATTTATAGCAGTTGAGGGTGTGGGTGCGCCAACATGATTTACAGTCTCAGCCAGTTTTATAACATTTTCCCTGCAAGTGGCATTCATGTATTTACGTGCAGGCGTGTCAAAAAATATTTTTACCAGCAGGTGCCAGTAAGAAATCACCACATCATGGAACAGAGAGTTTCAGAATTTCACTATATTGAAAATTTAGGATAATGTAATTTTGCCAATATTTTTCTTCTGAATCTTCTCTAAGATAGTGTACAATGGCTACCAAGAGGCTGGAATTACAAGAGAACTCATACCAACAACAAAACAAGTGCATGGAAGTACTTGATAAACAAGATGCACCTCAGACATATACCTGCTAGCATGTATTTTGGTGGCATCACGGTCAA